CCTCCTCCTCCTCCTCCTCCTCCTCATCTTCATCCTCGTCCTCCTCGTCCTCGTCCTCATCCTCATCCTCGTCCACCTCCTCGTCCTCGTCCTCGTCCTCGTCCTCCTCCTCGTCCTCCTCCTCCTCCTCGTCCTCCTCCTCGTCCTCGTCCTCGTCCTCCTCCTCGTCTACCTGAGGAATATGCCTTGTTCCCCTTCTCCCGCAGCTCCACCGCCCGCTCCAGCATTTTTGACCCTGCCCGATGATAGCGCTACCTGGAGCACCTGGTGTTGCCTCCTTTGCAAGGGTAGGGGTGGTAAATAGGGGTGGTAAGAGACTAGCTCCTGCCAGCCAAAGGTGGGTATGTAGGTGGGGTAGTCTCAACGAAAGCTGTCAAGGTGGGTGGGGTGGGGTTTTGCAAGGGTAGGGATGCGTCAGGGCCCGGGATGGCATCGGAGAGGATAACAGCGAGGGAGGAAGTGGAGGAGGAGGAAGTGGAGGAGGAGGTGCAGTAGCAGCGGCATCAGAGGGGCAAGAAGCTGGATGGCAGAGGGGTCAGTCTTGAACTTGGTTGCAAGCAGTTCAAGGACAACAACTACTGGACGATCGACGGTGAGAGGAGACGACAGGAGGAAGGTGAGTACGAGGATTGAAGAAAAGCCATGAAGACCGAAGGAACATGTTCTAGGCCCATACCGTAAAAGTCTCGTGTGCTGCTCTAGCTTCTCTTGTACGCGATAGCGGAGCAACCTGCTGCCAGGTCTACCTCCCGATGCCTGTCACAAAACGCAGTACGAGGAGAGCCGAGAGGGAGAAGAAGGGAGAGAACGGGGATGCAGAGGATGAGAGCAGCGAGAAGGAGCCTCTCATTTCCGAGAGAAAGTACAGGTTGAAATGGTTGCTGGGAGTGGATGGGTCGAAGCGGAGGACTATACTTTTTCTGATCAAGTGGGCAGTGTTTATCTACCTGGTAGTGACTTTCTACCATGCTCAGCGATGGGGGTGGTTGCTACAGGGCAAGTCGTTCTACCTCCCTTATCACTCTCCTGGCAACATGAGGAAGACCGGCCTCGCCTTCCGCAACATGTTCTTCACCATCGCGCGGCGGCACGGGTACAGCCACAGGGACATCGAGAAAATGATACTTTTCCCGACCGAGAGCATGTTCAAGCAGCTCTCTCCTCTCGCACATGACGCGAGGTGGCCGTCCTGGTTCAACAGGAGCGAGGCTCCTGGGCATCTGTCTCCCAAGGAGAGGATGCAGTATGCCCTGAAGCAGCTCGACAACGTGAGCAGGAAGAGCAAGCCGAGTCAGCTGTTCGAAGCAGGGGAGACGCAGCCGTTTGTGAAGATGAAGGGGGACACGCGCAACATCTTCCGGGAGTCAGGAGCGATCACCCTCGTCCTCCTGCCTGGGATCCTCTCAGAGCTCATCGACACGAAGCTCTTCGGGGACGTTCCTGCGTGGGCGGACTCAACCTTGAAGGGGAGATGGAAAGAGAGGATGGAAGTCTGCTCTAAGATCCTTCCGCACGAGAGGGGGGAGGGAGAGGAGTGCGACGAGTCCGACACGGTGGACAGGAGGTGGTCACTGGATAAGCTCGACTTCCTCGTCGAGCCTCTGGCAGAACTGGTCGACGTCGCGTCGATCGATGCCAAGGGGGTGGAGGAGGAGCTCGAGGAAGGGGCTTCTCCCTCCCTCCCTGACGGCCATCCTCTCATCCACCTTGTGCGGTTCAACACGCCGATGGGGAGCCTGGAGACGATGGGAACGATAGAGAGGTCGAGCACCACGTTCCTCAGGAGGCTGACCAAGGTGATGAGGATCATGGGTGGGGAGCTGAAGGACCTGTACCTCGTCGGGTACTCTCGGGGGGCGGCGGTGGCTCTAGAGCTGCTGGTGCAGGCCAGGAAGAGCCCGAAGCTGTTCCCCTGGGTGAGGAGGGTGAGGGGAGTCGTGTCGCTGGGCGGAGTGATCTATGGGACTGAAGCAGCTGATACCGTCACCCAAGATCACTGTGAGACACAATCCCGATGTCATTCCCTAGAGGCTCTCCTATCCTCAATGAGCACTTTGCTGCTTGCTTCTCCTTCTCCTCTCCTGGTCCTTCTCCTCTCCTGCTCCTTCTCCTCTTCATCTCTGCTTCCTCTCCTCTCCTCACGTCTCCTTCCCACTTCCCTTGCTATCCTCACCACTCCATTCGTCTCCTTCTTCCCCTTCCCTCTGCTTTTGCCCTTAGTTCGTGTGGCCCCTTTTCACTTCCTCCTCTTGCAGTGCACAAGAAGATTCTTGAGTCTGTTCTGGAGACTGTGGAGCACGTGGACTACAGCCATGAAGGCGATTTCGGATCTGTTGGACATGCCAAGTGAGTAGCTGATGAAGAGGAGGAGGAGGAGCAGGAAGTAGAAGAAGAGGAAGAGGAGATGCTGATGATAGTCACGGTACGTTCGCAGGGAGGTTGCTTCAAACACCAAACTCTTTGTTAAGATGGGGATTGATCTC